GGTCGGTGGCTGCGTGTGTGTGGGCGGGGGCGGGGCGCTCGACCCGAGGCCGCGAGACGCCCGACCTTGCACGTAGCCCAAGGACGAGCGCGTCGCGCAGGGTCACAGGGCCCGCGCCCCCTCCCCCCTCCCGAGGCAGCTCCCGGGCGGCGCCTGCCCGCGGCCTCCGCCACTCGCGACCCGACGGCGAAGCACCTGCGGCAAGGGCTCGCCTTCCTCCTAAGCATCCCTGCTCTTCATTGCGTACGACAGCGGGACAATGACTCTCCTTGCATCAATTACACAATTAATGAAACTAATTAACTACTAACATTCATTCCCACTTCCTGCTCAACTCGTAAAAAAAGTAATGCAGAATTGAAGAGCTTACTTTCGAAGTGATTTACCACAGTAGGTCTTTTAGTATTATCAATATACTCTTCAGATGCTTCTCCAGCAGGTTGCCAAGTGCTCGCGTTGTGCTAAAAAATGAAGCATCTCCAACGTTAAACAGGTTAAACTCGTTAAATCATATATTGCACTATCAATCTGGATTTTGATTGTTTCCATTCCATTGCAGTTTGTAATATGGAATTACGAATTAAGATTGCAAGATTTTATAATCTGGGATACGTGTGTGAAAAGAAGAGGCAGTATGATAGTTTTTTATCAGATTATTACGCACATAATATCACATCACAGTATTATGCAGCGTATTATCACCCAATTTACAACAAATAGGAATATTGCGTACCAACTGCGAAATATTTATCACGAGAGGTATTAAAAACATAAATTTGTCAGGTTAATAGACCGTTAAGTCTGTAAACCATTTACTTTTTACGAACGGTCATAAAAAAGCAAAAAAAACATCCCCCTCTGGATTTTTCACTCATTTTCCTGGTTGTTTCGTCCATAAATCTCAAGAAAACTGCCAAAACAGTTGCTGAAACGTCATTAACTTGGCCAAAACAGTGGACATAATCCTTTCGGTTTGAATGAGTGTTGGACGCAACACAAACAAACTGCAAGCAAAATAACAAAATCCAAATACACGCGATGATTTAAGATTTCAGTATTTCGGTTTCCCATTATATACGCGTGTAGTTCCATATGACAACCATTCCAAGACCTTTCCACCATGTTCGAAGAAAAACAGAAATGCCGTTAAACGTCAACCATTTGCACATCAAAAATACGGATTCGATTCTGGGAGGGAAAAAAAACACATAAATTAATTCTTTACATTCGGAATACATTTGTTTAAAAACGTCATTTAAAAATTTTGCAATATACTGATTTTAGTCATCTGTTGCACTTCAGTAACCATCGAAATGAATTATGAACGCCTTTAACTCCTTTTTTCCCCTTTGAGAGGGTTTACCGGTCGTTTGATTGGCTCATTAAAAAAAAATCTGCACAATTTGAGAATCTAAAACTACTCGGTCCGAATTCATCCGTATCGTCAACGTTCCACTGTACGTTGAATAAAGCATTCGCCAACGACCCGTTCGGCCAATGTAGCCAAGGCAGGCAGAAAAGGAAGCAGAGTCATCTTCGCGACATCTCAGCAAACGGAGGCGCGCCCGTGCGTAGCAGAAATCACACGGCGCGTCCGTCGAGCACACGCTACGAGCGACCTTGGGAATTGCATTCGTTGCAACAGGCCCTCAAGGTCGAACGAGCGGAGATGTACCCATGCGGATAATGCAAGCATTGTCTTGCGCGCGGAAGACTGAATCCCGCTGCCAACTCATCGCCCGAAACTTCTAACGCCTAATCGATTCCTACTCGCTCGACGAGGACAATATATCGAGGGCAATACAGGTGTGTGTGTGTGTGTGTGTGTGTGTGTGTGTGTGTAGAAAAAGGCGCGCCGAAAGGGAAGATGTAGTAATGAGATCGAAAGAGAAGGCACAATTATCTTCCACTCATAGAAAAAAAAACCGATGGAGTATTCCAGATCCATGATACTGTAAGAACTTTCCTATTTGCAATATCATGGATCTGCTACACTCCAACGGTTAGTTGATTCCAGTACCCACGGCTACGGCTGTCACTGGAGTAGAAAAGTGATGACTGAATTATTAGTGATTTCGGGAGCGTCAAATGCTAAGGTCATTTGGTTAGTCCAGTAAGTGTAGTGTGAGTTTTCTCCTCTGGATGTGGGTGGTCTTTCCCAGCTGGATGGCGAGATTCGGCGTCGATCTACCGTCGGCTACCGGAGTTTTCCCCGGCCAGGTATCTCCCACCAGGAAGGCACCTCCCCAGCCGGGACAAGCTGTAAGCTCCCGACCGGTCTCCCGGCACGTGTGGTACTTAAGAGTTTGTAAGTGAACGTAAAGTAATGAGGAAAGGACAAGGAAGAGGAAGGAAAGGTCGCGCGAGATCCGTGGTCCGTTTGCTAGGACACTGCTCCACCATACATCCGGTGTTTATAGGAAAAAACATAGAAATTTCGATCAGAGCACCTGGCCTCAAGAATTCTCCAGACAGCGACTGAATTCGACCCAGCTATCTAGCTGGTATCGAAAATCCTGCAATGGACCCCTGGGACCTCCCGCTGAGAGACCTGCAGCGACATCAATCGTTGCCCTGAGCCATCTCAGCCACGAGCCTATGAGGCGGGGCCGCCAACAAGAAAGAGAAGGCGTCAAAGCTTCATGTGCTCAGCGCATCTCGTTCGAGGTCAAGGCGATGACGAAATAGGCAGAGGCGTCTGGGGGGCGACGGAAGCGCCGGTCGGCGGGGGCGGGGGAGAGACAGGGTTGGCGGGGGCAGTTCCAACCATAGCCGCTCCTACAAGATACGTCATCGGCGGTAAACAGTACGGGTGGGCGATTCGCCTAGGCGCGACTGCATCATGAGTATGTATGAACAATTTCTCGCAAACAAATTCAGCGAGTCCTCCTCATAACTGAAAATGAATGCAGGCTCTCCCAAAGCCGGGATTGTAATGAACCGTTTTCATAGACGTGCCCCTTGTGAGCTCATCCACGGAAAACGTATATTGGCATTGAAATTTCTAAGCCTAAACTCTTTAGAGGTTTGCGGAGTTACGAAACGCTTTTCAAAATTAGAGTTCGAGCGAATAGAATTAGAAAACATTAACTCTCAAGACAAATAAAATTAACTACTTTTTTTGTAACGATATTCTATTTTTATTCTCCCTAAGTGTGCATTTAAGTAGGCGAAAAAAATAGGAAACGACGCAAATAAATAGAAGTATTTTAAAACGCAAAAAGGAGAGTCCTTTTCAATATAATACCAAAAGAGAGCAAAAATGAATTATGTTTCATTAATATTTCAGATGACTGAAAAGCAGTCTATATAGTAATTACCTTTGGTCCGTTACGCAATTCCTTATCTCAGAGACTGTAAACCAATGTAGTTTTCTTCCAACTAGTTCTTGTTTTTCGTTTTCCACACTTGGTATACATGAATTTAATCCAACATACATTAAATAGAGGCTCAGGTACACATACTACTTTAGTGAATTCCGTGTACTTTTTCTTCGTCCCCTCCACAGTAACCCTGTGGAGAAGGGGAATTTATTTCCTTTAAATTATTAACAATAGGCCGCTGCCTTGCAGCTTAAGCAACTAGAGGAGGGGCTTTTTCTTGCAGCTAAATTTTACATACTAGTCCTAAAGTTAACTTACTTGCACTGTGGCATTACTAACTTACACTAAGATCGGTTTTGTTCATACTATGATACTACAGAGTTTGTTAATTTACGGGCGAGACACGTTTTTCTTCTGTTTCACTACATTCACACATCATTCATACTTGTTTCATCCATGTACGTCTACACTTGACGTCGATGACGTACCATTCTGATCCACCTGCGTGGCCGGATCCTCTGCTTTCGCCCAGGTAGTCTTTTCCGACAAAACAAAGTTCGCGTTTCCGGGGCAAAGTACGATGGCGCGGTCGTGATACGGCAGAAATAAGTGTCGGCGCGTGAGCGTAGTTCTACTACTTACAATTCTCCACATTTGGCGGAACTCGACGCGAATAAAATAATGTTTCAGGTCTCATAATGTGATCATGAAATAGATGAACACATAGTAAATCCATTGAATTGAATTGAATTGAATTGAATTGATTCCTTATTTTCCGTGGCGGGACTGAGGCCATCAGGCCCGCTCTTCCGTCTGACCACGCAAATTTCGCTACGCTCCTTTCACCCACTAGCGGAGAAAGGAGGTATTTCTTGGACGACGGAACGGGCGATTTGAATTTAGCTCAGGGGCTTTATTTCGGCTTCAGGATCTTGTACATGCAGTAAATCTACTAACATGGGACAGCCGGCTTTACTTCCCCTCCGAAGGAAGGCGTACGAAGGAGTTTTTCACCCTCAAAAATTCATGGGCTTCGATCGGTTTCCAACCCGCGAACTTGGGTATCCATACGCTAACCCGCAAACGCTACACCATGGCCGCCGCCGATCCACGGTTGTCGTAAACACGTAAAATTATAAGTACAGCTGGTCATTAAACCAAACGACAGAATGCCCAGGGGGTATGTGAGTAATATTCAGTGTAGTTTACGGTCTGTGATAACCGAACTTGTTTTCGTTTTGCTGGTAATAATTTGGTGGCCGAGTTATGTAATCTCATTTAAGAACGGGGAAGAAACTTTTCTGAACTAAAGCACAGAGATGGTGGGCGGGGCGGACTGGGGCTGGGGCTTGGCTGTGCGGAGAGTGGTGAGAAAGGTGATACAGAAATGGGGGAAATGGGACGAGTGGGGAGGTGGTAGAGCTGAAGGAGCGGGTTGGAATAAAGTTGGATGTAGCGGGTCGAGGGGGTATGAGATGGGATGGGATGGGATGGGGTAAGGGACATGGGACGGAGCGGGACGAAGGGGGGCGGTGCGCGACAAGGGAAGACTGAATGAGATGGATGAAGCCGTAGGCTTCCGCGGCCAGAGTCATGTGCATGATCGTGGCTGTCCGGGTGACGCCGCGTCGGAGGCCGTGTTGCCGACGTTTCGACCAACCTGTCGTGGCCTTCCTCAGGGCTGGTGTGCAAGTCACCCGGACAGCCAACATCACGCACGTGAATGAGATGGAGTATCATGCTTGGAATGAGACCAGGGGAACGAGAAAGGACAACGGACGGGATAGGATGGTGTAGGATGGAGCGGGATGGAGTAGGTAGAGTTGGTCAGGACGGGGTGGGATGGAATAGGCGGAGCGAGACGGGACAGGACGGGATGAGACAGGACCAAGCACAGCGAAGCACGTCGAATAAAATCAGACAGAAGCTGAGCGAGACGACCTAGCTCTGTGCGGGGAAGTGGATGGGAGGAAGAGGGGGGGGGAGGGCGCATCCTGGACGACGCCGACCTTGCCGGCGGAGCGCGCGCTCCCGTCAGCTCCCGTCCGCGCTGACTCGGCGACGCCGGCCCAAAGGAGCGCACCCCAGCGCTTTCGCCTCGCCTCCGCAACGCGGCGCTGCGCGGCGGAACCAAAACGGCGCTCGCCGATCTGCGGGACGCAGGCCGCGCCTTTTGTCCTCCACGCGCCGGTATCCGCCCCAGCGGCCGCACGTGCACAAACAGCCACGGCGGCACAACCGAAATGACAATACGCTGTCCTATAGGCAGTTACGTATTATATAAGCGCGCGCCAGTCCCTCTGACCGGGAGGTCCTGGCTTTTAGTCCCGACGGCGTGGCAGGATTTTCGACGGTAGCTTGTCAGCTAGGTGGAATTCAGTCGCTGTCAGGAGAAAGAATTCTAGCGGCCGGCTGCTCTGATCGGTAGTTTTCCGTGGTTTCTCCGATCAACACCACACGGAAAAATAGAACAGTTGCAGTATACCGTATCCATGAAACTGTAATAAGGGAACGCGTTTCAGTGTCATGGATCTGGTAGACTGCAATTGTTCTTTATTTTGCGTGCAGGCGAATGCCGGAGCAGTACCCTACCCAACGGGCCACGGACAGCGCGCAATCTTTCCTACCTCTTCCTTGTCCTATCCTCTCCCCTTCCACACACACACACACACACACACACACACGCACCACACACACTTACACGCAATACACAAGCACACATACCGTATGACCGGTAGAGAGCTTAAAGCTTGTCACGGCAGGGGGCGGTGCCCCGCTGGTGGGAGATACCCATTTGGGAAAAACACCGCTAGCCGACACTAGGTCGGCGCCGGATCTCGCCATACAGCGAGGGAAAGATCACCGCCAACTCTCGAGCGAAAGATGCACTACACTTACGGGACCAATAGCCATGGTATTGTACTCCGAATAAGTAAAACAACCAATCAATATATGCGCACGTTATCTCGACTCGTCATTTCGCTAGATGCGAGAGGAGATTGGTTATTTCGGAAACATAACTATTATATCACATCTGTAGCTCCTTTTTCGACGTAAAATGCACGGGAGTGGACATTTCTATTAGGAGGAATAGAACATTTCTGGTTGTTAGTAGGGGGCTATTTTCACGACCTAATATACCGCCAAAAATTATCACTAAAAGTGAGAAGGTATTACCTTTACGTTGCATTAAGACCAGTATAATCGCACCCTCTCTAACTTAAGACTGTATACTACGATAAAGCAATAAATGAGAATGCACATGAATGTGTGCGGAGAGAGAAAGGGGGCAGGGAGAGGAGGAGAGAGGGAGAGGGGAAAGATGAGAATGCGGAAAAGTGCGTACCAGCCCAGGTTCTTGCGCAAAGCAGCCACCCCTCGCGCCCAGCAACGCACCAGAGCAACCTGAAAAGGAGCAGGTCGGGCGAGAAAAATCTGCTCCGCTCTTTGGCTGCGCAGACAACTAAATCCCCCCGGAAATGCTTCGGGAGGCAGCAGCCGTTGCCACAAACGAGAACTGCCACTTGCGAAACGCGCAGACACGTTTTCTTCCCAGATGCAACAGCCGAGATTGTGACCGGTCGCGGCTCCAGAATCGTTTTGGCGGATACTGAAGCCGCTTTGAAGGCTTGGTCACAAGAGATTTCGGATTTTTGCCTTTGGCATCGTACCTTATGTCACGGGAAATAACGACACATGAAAACTTCTCAGAGTGGTGTGATAATCATCTTTGAATAGTTATGTGAAAACTCTGAGTCTTATAGAAAATTTATTAATTTTCCATACACAGTTATATGTCTGTTTTCCCAATGAACTGTCATTTCCAATAAAACTGAAAATTGTTTGTAGTAATACACTCACAGTTTTAGATAATGATTAATTGCTTACAACGTTCAATTATGTATAAATCATACGAAAACTACACAAAAACAATTAAATGAATAAGAAAATTGTATAACACGTAAACAATCAGGCAGCACATTGCAAAAATTACATTCCCTCTCGCAAAATAACGAATCTTTTGTTTCCAGATTTTTTACCGGGTTCCAAGAACATTAAATCGAAATTATTCTTTACAAATATTTTGATAGTCCTTATCATGGTATTTTTTTCTTTTCTTTTTAAATTCCATCACTAGAATCAACTTCTATCAAACACTATCAACAACTACAATGTCTCTTTATAATATTTTATTCAGAATTATGGTGCTGTTGCTGGTGTTGTTGTAGAGTGCAATGAAAAGTGGGAAATCATTAATACCAGCACAATCCCATCTGCAGCTGTGGAGCACCACGGTTGTAGTGAACTTTGGTTTATGTCGTCTATCGTAATACAAAGAGGTCTTTACCTTGCCTGTATTTAGACCTACGGATCCAATTAAAGTTAGGCAAAGGGGGAGATTGGATATTAGCGCAGAGTTCGACACAACGTGAAAGATGCCGATAAGGGCTGCCACGCCAGATTAGGAGTGGAGTGGTAGTGCGATGAGCGCGGAAGAAGGAAACAAAAGACTGGTAGGACGGTTGAGAAGCGAACAAAAAAGAAGGAAGATGCACAGATGCTGCGGATAAGGAAAATATCACTTTGGCCAGAGGTAAGTAAGAGGACAAGAAAATATGAACCATGCAATTCAGAAGTAAAGAAAACATTGCGCCTAATTTTTATTCGTACGTATTTTGGAGGGAGGATGATATTACTGGAAACACAGTAAAATACCTTTCTATAAGTTCAAAAGAAATATAAAATCTTTTTGGTCGTCAATGTCGCGTTCAAGATTAAGAATACGAAAAGTGAGAATGGGAGAAATATGAAGAGAACACGGAGGACGAGGAGGGGAAGACGGAGAAAGAGAAGCAGGTGGAAGAGAAAGAGGAGGAGGAGGAGGAGGAGAAGAAGGGTGAAAGAAGGATGACAAGAACAAGGGGGAAGGTGGAAGGAGAGAAGAAGTAGGAGAAGGAGATAAGTAGAAGGAGAAGAAGATAAGTAGAAGGGGGAGCTGGAGGAGAGAAGAAGGGGGAAGAAGGAGAGAAGAAGGGGGAAGAAGGAGAGAAGGGGGAAGAAGTAGAAGGAGAAGAAGAAGGAGGAGGAGAAGGAGAAGGAGGAGGAGAAGGAGGAGGAGAAGAAGAAGGGGGAGGAGAAGGAGAAGAAGCAGGCCTTGAAGGAGTGCAAGGAGAACGAAGAGAAGTCAAAAAATAAAGCAAGGGAGAGAAACCGCTTTCGGCGAGCGCAACCGAAGCGCAAGCAAACGCTAGAGGCGACGAAAGGGTCGCCCAAGGGAGAGGAAAAGGGCGCAGCGGCCGAGGCGGGGGCGGGGGCGGCGGCGGCGGGCGCCGGCGGGGGCGACGACGGTCGCGCCGTCTAGACGTCTGCCGTCGCGCCCCGCCCGCAGCTCATCCCTGCAGACGCCTCTACCTGCGGCTCCGACTACCCGCCTTGCGCGGCCGGCGCCACGACCCCCGACGTGAATGGCGCGCTGCCCTTTACGGCCCCGCGAACGACGTTTCGCTACCACAAGCAGACTACGCACAGCGGGGGAGGGCGGGCCTCAGCATTCCAAGCACTTTCCCTTCCACGCATAAAAATGGTTTCACAATTTTTGATTTCAAGTTTTTAATTCCTTTTTTACTAATTTAAGCTCGCCTATTAACTACCCATGTCATATTACGACCACTGTACGTAACAGGCTTATGATGCTGTGATAATTTCATGGTCTTGCACGTTCAAGTGGCGATAATTTTTTTTTTTTTTTGACAAACAACTTAAGCTTGCGGATAAACGGAAAACGTGTTGAATGGACAAATTTAATAAAGTAGCTGTTGTAATTTAATAGCAGTCATGTGCATGGAAAGTGATTCAAAGAGAGCCGTATCTGCATATACTATTAGATGTAAACAGAGTTGGAAATTGGCGTTTGCTAGTCTTAGGCTGTCTTAGGCCAATCACGGAGCATCGCCGTTAACTTGGAAATGCTTGCATGAACGGACTCAAACTAGCCGCAACCACTTTTCTATACTTTTTGGTAAGATAACCCAACCATGTTAACACGTTTTACTTACTGACGCAGAACCTATTGCACAGCGCATTCCGCGCGTGTTTCGTTTATCTATTCGCTTTAGCCCTCTGAATGAATGAATAAATAAATTAATTAATTCAAAAATAATTAACATATCTCGCTTCCGAGTGTCGGCATTTCTAAGACGTGCGTCAACATTTCGGCCATTCTGTAATTGCCTCCCTTGGGCAGATCTTTATTACCAGCGTTGAAAGGCCAGTCGGGGGGAGGGGGGGGGCAGTCACCTAGATGCCAACATGTTTCTGCCTCCAAAGCGTAAAAACACAGAAAGAGACTAGCACGGCGTCATAGCTGACATTCCACATCGGCGGCAGCTGTCAAGAAGTTATGAACTGTGTCCTGACAGAGGGGTGTACCCTACAGGACGAACACAGCGGAGAGTGGAGTGGCGACTGACGTCTGGCGCCGACAGGAGCGGGGGTGGGGGTAGGGGTAGGGGTGAAGGTGAGGGCGGAGGGGAAATTAGGGGGTAGGTATTGAAGGTACGGGCGAGAGAAGGCGGGCTGGGGTAGGGAGTTCGCAGAGGCGCCTATCGAGAGCACAGATGTGGAGGGAACACACATCAATTTAGCACGACCTAATAATTTCCCTCCACAACAACGACAGGTGAAAGGGCATCAATAAGCGAAGTTTTCTTCTTGCGAAAATGCTCATTCGAAAAATGTGGATGGTTACACGGCTCCGGCATGCTAGAAAATATTTCTCTCGTTTATCTATTGTAACCGAATGTTTTCGCGTAAGCAGTTCCGGTATCAAAGCTTCTTAGGTCCACACGTATTGGGATCGAATCCCGACTGTGCCAAGTAAATAGCCGGAACGAAGCCGACCACTGCCTGCGTGAGAATCCAGGAGATCGTCATCTCTCCTGGTTCGTTTTCGTGTACTCTGATGAATGCCAGGACGTCTCCAATGTAGAACTAGTAAGCCTTATTCTTTACCTTATTAAACCCCCGACTTCATCCCATCAAAGGCCCACGTTCCATTAATCGAGAACATTTTCAACAAGTGTCGGAGACGAGTGATAAGCTGAGGGACCGGTGACACACTATACTCTAAGCGTCACGTGACGAGAACAGTAGTAATAAAAAAAGGAAATAATTGAAGCGTTTAGTGGAATAAAGATTAAAGAATGAACCGAATGAACGCGTTCGGAAGAAAAATCAAGAGCCACCTCTTGGAATTAATTACTACTAATATGGCTTGCAACGCCCCACAGAACATTTAGAAGAAAAAAAATCGTCTTCGCACACAGATCCGCTTAAAATTATTAAGCTGATAAATCATGATTTTGACGCACAGACCCTTACGATACCAAACTCCTCAATTTACGCTCGCAAAAATTACTATTTCGCCCATAGCGCTTGTGAGCCTGCTGACTACCTGTCGCGGGGCGGCCGCTGCGGCGACGGTGGCGCCAGCGGCGGCGGACGCGTCAACCCGCTGGAGGGCCGGGCCGTGGTTGCGGCGAGAGAGCGAGGGTAAGTGCCGCGTGATTTATACTCCGTTCGTGGAGGGGGTGGGGGTGGGGGCTTCCGAAACAAGACCACACGGCCTCCGAGGCGATAACGCCCACTCTCGCCCCTTCCCCTCCCACGGACGAGAGCTAAGGGCCAAGGGCGCGCGGGTTGAAAGAGGTAGGCCACTGCCGCGCTTACACGTAGCACTCGGCAGTTAACAGCGAGTCACACACACACACACACACACACAGACAGACAGACAGACAGACACACAGACAGACAGACACACACACAGACAGACACACACACAGACAGACACACAC